ATTATTTTTCACTGACATCTCGCCAGAGTATACCGTTAACGCAGACAGGGTCATCATTCCATTATCGTCCATTAAAAAACAACAAATGTACCGAAGTGAACAGATTGGCAGTAATGGGAACCCTATTTCTAGCAATATATTCTGTCAAGTTGACCTCCACGGTTTCTCCCTGACAAATTTTGAGTCAATTAATAGTGGATTCACTACAATACATCACCTGATCTGACTTCATCCTTATCTATCATTACTCGCCAGTATAAATAAAACTAATAGCAAAGGCGAATTCATCAATTGAAAAAAAAACCAGTATCATAATGGTTAATATTTTTCATTTAGAGTGAGTGCAAAATATCAGAAACGAACAATTAAATCATAGTAGAAGCATATATCCAGCAGTGGACTGCAGTACGCTGATAATAATGATGATGTTAATATCTATGGCACAGTACCTTCCCTATGATACAAGATTAATTCCTTTTTAAATAATTAAGGGTAACTTCTGATTACTTCTACCTGAGACTGTGTAATATTAAACAGTAAAAGTTCTTAGCAAAAAATGTACATAAATAATTGGTATAATATGTAAATTTTTTACTAGTTCACATTTTATTGGCTATGTATTTTATTTTATCGTATAAAATAAAACACTAATATCTTGAATTGACATGTAGGTCCATATAAAGATATAAAAGGTAAATATTTAGTAAATCTATAGGTGTGAATTGGATCTGAGGCTCACACGGGTATGGTACGAGTACTTCTAACATTAAGAGTAAGTTAAGTAAGGTAAGAGCCTCTTTAACATTTTTATAGATCCCGCTTATCTTTCAAAGGTATAACTCTAATGATAATGTTGGTCTTATTGAATGAATAAACAAATAAATGAATTAAAACTATTTAACTCCCTTCAAAGAATGATACAGATTATAAAGATTAACAATATACACAAAAAATAAAATAGAATTAGTTAGTCATTATGGAACATTAGAAAAAAAATCTATTTTGTGTAAACTTTTGTGTATTACACAATTCTGTTAATGATGAACAAATATTGGTTATTAATAATATATTTTAATTGTGTATTAACAAATATCTAATATTATTTTAGCATTTTAATAATTATAAAAACAAATATTCAGCTTTACATTCGCTTTTGAAAACATTCTAATGTAAGAAGTCTATTTGATCAATTAAAACTTTACATTAACTATATTTACATATTTTGTTCCTGCAATTTAACACTTAAAAAACTTTGTATTTGATAATGTAAACCAGGTATAATGTATCAGCTGTCAATCACATATCAAATTATAATTGATTTCTAAAGAAATGGCATTTCACGTCGTAACTCTAGCAAATGAACTTTCATCGAAGACATTTACTTTCTACGTTATCCTCTTGTCGAGGCGCAAAAAACCAGTGAAAATCTTCCGTGCATCGAATCTGGGTCTGATACAATCACAATTATCAAACTTAACCGGTTTTATTAGTTTGACAGTTGACAACTAGTTCATTAATTAAACATTGTAACGCCGCCGGTAAAAAAGAATAGTGAAATTAGTTTAAAATTGAATAATTTCAAGTATTAATTACATGTGTGTATTATGTAAAAGAATATTTAAGTCAATTAAATATATTTAAATTTGATCTGAAAAAGTATTGTATAATTTATTAGGTCTAAGATATACTAATCAGAGGGAGGCTTTGTACAAAAGTACCTCTGTCCCATTCGTGTTTAAACCGTGAAGCAGTAATGTTTGCATGGTTGTTTTTCGGTTTGAAGGGTGAGATATGGCAGTGAATTAACGGAGTACAGAGGCATAATACCTTATTTCTCAAGAATGGCAACACATAGGAGGTATCATGGGTGAAACAGTATACTTTGTTATGTCCATGGTGCTGCTCATAGGCAATGGTTTACACTTTCCAAACGGTGGGCCGTCAGCTTGTTTGCCATTCTAAATTGCATAAAAAATATTGACTAAGATTTTCAAAGTCAAGCATTAAATTTAGTAGCGATTATTTACTATTGAAATCTTTAGGAGAGTTATGATTGACAATTTAACGTCAATATACAAAAAGTTGGCAATGGGCTGGTAACATAGCCTGACAACGGATGGGGAAGGTTCTTGAGTGGCGATACTGTGCGGGCAAACGCAGTGTAGATGAACCATCCACACTAGATGTAACGACCTCAAATACATTGCAGGGAGTTAATGGATGAAGGTGACTCAGGGCTGTTGCTTATGTCTTTTGGGGAGGCATATGTTCAGCAGTGGACAGATAATAGCTGAGATGATGATACAAAATTTGCCAATTTGTTATGTGTAGAGTTGGCGGTTATTTATATCAGTGTCAAATCCGGATAAGTATATAAAATTTATGTTTAACTTGCTTTTACTCAAGACATGTTCGCGTGTCTGGGATATGTTCATGGCCGGAATAAAAAGTAACTTATATCCTTGTCTATCCCATAAATAACACGTATATAACAAATGTTATACCGACTACGCCAAGGCGGCAAGAGGCAACAAACAAACTCACTTTCACATCTATGATAGTAGTAATTGAGAACATACGAGTTGTATTCGAATAAAAAGATAAAACGACGAGATGTCAACTTTACGTTTCTAAGGCCTCTTGTGCATTCGTATTGTGTTGTAAGATGTCCCGGTTAACGCGAAGCAAACTGAGGTAACGGAGACACGTATAAGTAAAAACAGGCGAGAGTAGATATGCGTGTAAACAGGCACCAATAGCGAGATGTAGATAATAAACATGCTAAGATAATATTATACTCTGTTCGTTGTAGTATGTTGTGGGTGACAGATGATATTATTTAGTCAGTTTTTGCTATGAAAGAACTGTTTTTATGAGGAATTAAAATTGAAATCTAGTAATATAATTTTGAACGCCCAGACTCAAGCCAATTTAAAAAGGTTCATTTCCTATTTTAGCCTGATTGAGATTCGAACCTGGAATCTCGCAAAGTAACGTGCCCACCACTGCACCACTGAGGTCGTCATGAGGTATTCAAAATCAAACACTTTGTTGAATCATCAAGCTACGATTTATTATTCTTTTTTACACATATCGTCTCCCGCACCATGCTATAATATACGAAGTATAGATATTATACAGTAATTAACATAAGTATAAGTAAATATTGTTACTAAGATATAAAATTTTGTACCTAGTATTGTAGTAAGATATTTTTTTTACAGTTGGCGTAAATATTTTAGTAAGTGTTTCAAACTTTCTTTTTGTTCATCAAATTTTAATAGTTTTCATATATTTAAATTGTATTTTTTTTTAATGAAAGATATGTTTAACTGTTAAGGGATTCGGCGTTAAGATATAACATACGACTTGTCTTCCTTTTCAATGTTCCGTATTTCGTACACTTAAAAAAAGAAAATTGTATGCATTGATTAAATACCTATTATTATTTTTACCAATTTCAAAAGAAAGATACTACGATTGTTTACTGAATATGTCAAATATGTACCTATTAAGAAAATATGCAATTTAGAATGTCTAACAATCTGACGACCTACCTGATGGAAAGTGGTAACCGTCACCTATAGACTTGAGAGGCGGTAGAGAATCGAGTCTTTTACTCTTGGTGGAAAGTGGAAAGATGTCATGGAATATATTCTATAATATCTATGTTCCTGTTATATATAGTTTTAATTATTAAGTTATTATATATGGGTATAATTGTATATTATTACACCCATATATAATAGAACCCTATGTTATGTATGTATATAATAGAACCCTTTTATGGATTGTCTTCCTAACAATTGAGGTGTTAGATCTTTGTCACGGAATAAACATATTATCTTTGTAATTTCTTTATTATATTTATCAAACAGAAACATAGTAATCATAGTTTTTTTGCGGCAAAGCAAAACAACAAGTAGGAAAGAGGTATCGAAGCAGACGTCTTTTGTACAATTTGACTCTGTATACAGACAACAAACAAAAATTATTTTTAAATCCTCAAATAATAAGTATAAAAGAATAATTAGAAAAAACCCAATGACACAAAAGGCGACTGATTAGCTTAAAATTCGATTTGGTTAAGCGTGACAGCTTTGTTTCGATTGTTTGTTACGTTGGCTTTCATTAATAATTAATAGATTCGTTTTTAGTGTATGAGACAATGCTTGGCAAGTCTCACTCGACAAAACATTTGTTTCGTAAAACATTAGCTATCAGTAAATTGACGAATCATATTAATAATAGGTGGAGATATTTATATAATTATTTTATTTAGGCAAGAGAGTTTCAAATTTCCATTTTGTACCCTGGAATATTAAAAAAAGTTGATATGAAAATTTTTAATAATTATTAAATTGTTGGATTCTCATTTTTGGAATTCCCAATGAGTAGTAAGAGGTACCGTGGGCGTCTCTGACTTAATAGTGCTGTTTATATTTCTATAGTTGATGGTTTGCATGTGGTAGAGCGTTATGTTAGTTGAAATAATAACAAATATGATAAGCAAATATGATTAGGTTTATTTTTCTAAATATTAAGCAATAGAAAAGTTAATTTAGCCCATAAAATAGTTCTTGTTTTCTGTACTGTTTTTGAATTGTTAATTCTTCGTATAAGTAACACAAGTTACATTTTTGAATTTTCTTTGTATACGTAACTTTCTAATAATTGTAAATTGACTGAAATAATAAATATTCAACGCTCATATTATAATGTTTTGTTTACTTATGCTAATTACAATCACAATTAAGTGTCGAGATGATAATGAGCTATAATAGGTATATAGCTGCGTTTTTAATATTGGAGTATAACATTTTAAGAAATAATGACGTAGTTAGGTACTTATTATGATGGATTTGTTTTAGAATTAAGTATAAAATGAAATTATGTATGTACGTATGTACGTACATAATTTAATTATTTATGCTAATGCCTATGTTGAAATCATGATGATTTCATTAGCAGGGTGTTTGGAAATAATATAGCTGACAATATTTTTATACATGTTTATTTATATCTTAAACTCAGTCACGATCAATCACAATGTCTTTCGTACAGTTTAGTTATATTATTGTATACCCATATTATTATACAATTTAAGTTAAACATACGTTACTAACTAAAATTCATATAATTAAGTCACTTTACATTATAATTAATTCCCTAGTTTCAACTGATTTACGTTTCTAATCGGGACAATTTACATTTACAATGTTTATATATCTTTGTTTACATTTATTTCGTAAATGAAATAATGATATGAACAAGTTTAAAATAAATATATATCACGCGAAGATGCACCTACATCCTATGTTGGAATGTTTATTGTTGAACGAGGCGCGGCATTTGGTAACCCGTCCTCGAACTTTTGCATCGCTGCAACGAACACCTACTGCCTACCCATCTTTATCTAAAAACAATTACTCAAAGGTCACATCACTATAATAACTTAGTCTATGTTATGCTGTTCAGAAGATATAAATTATGTCTAGGCGCATTATCACTGGAAGGACCTAGAGGTCAAGGTAACTTAATATTTGGTTATGTTACGCATTCTATAATTTAAAATCAGTCCGAGCGTCGCATAATGAACAGTAATTTTCAGGGTCAGGGTCGCGACCAGACCGAGACCAAGATGCTCGACGTGGACTAGGCGAGTAGGAAGCTGAATGCGACCATAAGCAGCGATGCACCTACCATGGGTATCGACGCCGCGCTATATTGAGATTCTGACGTCAAATCATCACCGAACACATAACTCTTAGATCCCGTAAAACTCTTGAGTATTCTGTAGTTGATTTCATTAAGAGATACCTGCTGTTTCACAAAGTTGAATAGTCTGTTCACAACCACGTATGTGTTACCACGATCATCGAATGTGAAACGGTCTACCCACTGGATGTATGTTGGGTCGCGAGCAATCGTTCGTTGGCCTGTGCGGAAATCAGTGGTTGAATTCCATTCTGCAATAGTCGAGTTGCCTATTAGACCGAAAAATAGCACGCCTGTGGAGTCCATCTTCATGCCATCTGTCTGTGAAGCTTTCGTACCCAAGTCGACTACATATGGACGAAGGTCATTTTTGTTATTTTGAGCCAAAGATTCATTACGCAAAACAGAAGCATTAATTGCATATAAATTAAAACTGGAAAGCGGGCTGTAGTAAACAGTCCTATCGACCTTGTCGTCGTTTCTTTTGAACTGCGGGCCTAGTGCAATACCGTCGATGTTCACTGGTAAATTTACGTTGGTTCCATTGATGCGGAAAAATGTTGCCTCAGGCACAGACATCATTGACTGACTGTCGCGAAGTTTCCACGATTTCTTGTCGCTCCTGCGGAAAATTATTATACCTGGATCTACTGCGCTGTTATCGGTAATGTAAGCGTAATCACCATCTCCTCTGTTGTCCACAACAAGATCATTCAAGTAAGTTGTATTAGGATTCACTATTTCAGGGGGGAAAGGAATACGTTCCATTTCATTTTTTCCTGACTTCATGTCAATCAATACGATCGAAGGTGGACATTTGGGGTCAGGGGTCGGTGTAAGTGTACCTACGCGGCCGTTGTCCAAAATCCACATGATGCCGTTTCGGTCGATTTCAACATTTTGCACAAATTGCAACGCGTTGCAATTGCCGATTGTGTTGTCACTCCAACTTGGGAACGGTTTTAATTTCGGGGCCGTGTTGGTTTGTAGGACCGGAATCGTGGCGAGGGTCGCCGGCACCCCGTCCAGCATCCTCGGCATCGTCAGAAACAGGCTTTCTCCGTAGAAGTTTATTCCAGAGATTAGAACGTTTTGTGGTATGTATCGGCTGGTATTGAGGAAGGCCTTTTGTTGTTCCTGGGATTCCCATTCGTAATCGATGTAGGTCCATTCGTAGATAACTCGGAACTGTTCGCGGCGGACTGCCGATGTTGAGGATGTTCGCGCGGTTTGCGTGTCGTTTTGTGCGGCCGCGGCGGCGAGGGCAATGAGGAACACCAACAGCATCATGGCGGGCTACGCGGAGGTGAGCGTGTGGCGCGGTCGGCGCGAACGATGCGACTGACTCCTAAGTACGGCCACAAAATCGCACTGACTTCGAGCAGCGAAGCTTCGCGCGTGACCATATCACTACGTCATTACTGAAGACGCGAATGAAACAATTGGATCCGGTGTTTAATATAAGCTTCTTAAAACTTTCAAGCAAGTTAAAATATATATTCAACTGTAAACATGACCCACAACATTAGTTTAAACAGCCGAACGAGACGTTATTGTGGATTAAATTATAACAATCAATTGTTGTGTAAAGGGTGTATGAAGGTCACGAGATCTCACCCCTAACCAGACAGAGGGTCTGTCTGATCGTTCTGTATATACTTATAATAACTATTTCGCTAAGGGTTTGGTAGACAATCGATTTAAATTGTAGTAGGGTCTGGATTCATTTTAAAACATCTGTTTATGTATTAGGTATATGCATTTTAAATTTATTTATAAAGTTATGTCCATATAGCGTACATAATATTAATAAAACAACTAATCATAGATAGTTAAAATACAGATTTCAAATAAAATGAAATTTCATCATAAGATTGACAGAATAAAATGAGTAGTATAGTATTGTAATATAGTATTGTAATCTGTAGCGTGGCGGCATAATGTACTTAGTGGATTTTAATGGAATAGTAACAATCAGTATATGTTGGCGGAGCACCAGTGAGAGGTCGTAGGTGAGGATGAAACCAGGTTAGTTAGTTCACTGTCACGGATTTAACAATAATTAATCACAGTGGTTTCCAAAAGGAGCAGCGCGGAGGTCGATCTGACAAGCTATATTGCTAGCAATGGAGTTTACGGTCTCCATTACTAACAATCACTTTGCCCCTACTGCTGCTAATTGTAGGTAGTCTATATGTTTAAATGAATATACATTTCTAGAGTTCTTCCAATACTCTACAAAATGTACCCATTTATTTGCAAATCCTAAAAAATAATGAGTGCTTTTAAATATATACATACTTAAGATGGTAGTCTCAGAGAAGGTAGCCAGTGGTGTACATTTTTTATTTCCTAAACTTACACATTCATTTAACATCGGAAATATATATTTATTTGGAAAAAACCTTATAGTAAAAACTATGGCTCTATATGACTAGATTATGAGCGAAAATCTTATTCAATAGCGGCTAGACTGCGGCATCGATTTGCATTTATGTAAATGTACCTAATGTCTGAAATTAACGTTTACATTCAGTTACTATCTCATATTTAGTCCATATTTCATACTCATTTCTATAGCCAATACAAATATTACTGATTTAGCTAGGTAGATTACTGAAAGGTATTTTTTTTATTTTGACTACGTATTAGGGATACTCACTTAAAAGAGTGTTGATTTCATTTTACAGTTATTGTATATTTCATAATATTGTTAATTCTAAAACGATTAAAGTATGTACCTTTTTTTATACAACTTAGAATGGCAAACAAGCTGACTGTACCTGCATAAAAAATATTTTTAGCTGCTAGATTTAAATCTTAAGAACTGTATATTCTGTATATTCATTGCCATAGAGTTTAATTTAAAAAAAAAATTACTTTAGATGGTGAATAAGTTGAGTTAAATTTAATATTACAATTTCTTTACAAACAAGTAAACAATACAATATAATGCAACAACCACGGGTAATGACATTCAGTATCTTATAGTTACTAAGGAACTTCGTTCGTTCTTCAAACTGTCAGAGCCTACCAACTTCTGCTGAAATTAGATGTCAACACCAAATTTCATTTTGATTAAGATTCCACAATTTTCATTTAAGAGTACTTGGCCTAAAAGTTTTAAAATAAAATAATAATTTATTGCAGGCATTTGAACAGAAAATTGGTATATACATACTATCTTATAGAAGTAGAGAAAGTGTTAAATGTTTGTTTGTCGAGAATAGTCCGTATTTATTTAATTATTATTTTAAAATGTATACTAATATTATAAAGAGGAAAAATAGATTTTTTTGTCTGTAACTGATAAACTCAAAAACTACTCAACCAATTTTATAAATTAATTCACGAACATGCATATGTTCGTAACGAATTTCATAAGAATTAACCGTCATGATATCCAGGAGTAATCACGTGAAGGTCAACTTGAACTTGCTAGCAATGGGGCTATTAGACCCCATTATTAACAATTCCTTTCCCCACCATTATTGCCATGTTATGTCACAGGCCATAAATAGCGCAGTAATATCTATGCCTTTCACATATCAGTATCAAGATGTAAACAACACACACAGAGATTATTTATTTATTTAACAAATTTTATTAACAATTTTAATTTTATTAACATTATAAAGACGGACTTAATGCTAGTAGCGATCTCTACTAGTCAACCTTTGGGATAAACAGTGACACACGGACGAGGTACTCCATTATTGGAATAAGTAAAGAAAATAACAACTAATAATGTAATATATACATAAATATTACTTATAAATATTATTGTAATGAGTTCAAAAAGTGAACACGAACTTTTTATTTCAACATGAATTTATTTGGAAGTTCGCTTAAATGGTGATAGAGTCAGACATAAAGTCACATTTTTAAAATAGTGTGAGAAGTAAAAGGATGTTATTAGAACGAAATTAAGATTTTGAGAGATATTGAAATTTACATTTCAGATATTCCGGAGAGAAAAGGGAGAAAATAATAGAGTAGAGGGTGCAAAGTAACCTTCGTTGTCTTCGCTGACGAATAGAGAGCCATTTAAGCTGTGACAGATAGTGGGAGTTGTGCTTATATTTACGGTGACAGGCGATAAATCCAATAGCATTATTGACTAGTCGGTCCAGCTTGTTTAGAAGATCTTTATTAAGATCGGGATAACATATATCAGCATAATCAATAATAGGAAGAATAAGAGGTTCCACTAACGTAACCTGAGTTTTAACAGGAAGAAAACTGCTAAACAAATTAAAAAACCGTAGTGAGAACAGAACGGCACAATTTACTTCAGCTATTATATTATAATTCATATTTACAATCCTCGTCTATTATTTCATTACATTTTTGATGAATTACAAATTGCTCTACACGCACAGGCAACGCCATCTATAATTCTCACTAAAATATAATTGATCTTAGCGCCATCTATGATAAAATGGCATAAGTATGAGTACCTGCTAAAATGGCAATATAGATTTAGGTTGTAGTAAATAGATGGCAGCAATGGAAATATTATTATTCTCTATTTAGTATATTTATTAATAAATTATCCAATTTATATTGTAATTGGAATATTAATAATTAATGTTTTATTTAGTATATTTATAAAATGTATGTAATATTAATAAAAATATTAATTAATAATTTATGCTGCTACTATTGAAGTATTTAAGATTATTTTCCAACTCCCATATGGTCTAGTGGCTAGGATACCTGGCTTTCACCCAGGAGGCTCGGGTTCGATTCCCGGTATGGGAAATCCTTTTTGAAATTAATGAATCTTTTTGTTTAAGTAATATATAAAGAATGCATAAAAGTAATTTTTTCTTAGGGCGTATTATTCATTTATTTCTTTTATAGTAAGTATGGTTTTTACTATTCCACCTTTACCGTATCAACCAATAATAACGCTTTATTTATTAATACGATATAAGCTTGTGATATGTTGATAAATTTATTTTATAATATATATGTAGTAAGATCATGGTTAATTTCTAATTATAGCTTTCGTCTCGATGGCAATTGATCTGCCTTCATCCTCACCCATCGCCCCTCACTGGTTCTTTGCCAACGTAAACCAATAGCGTAGACAGGATTACAGTTGCATTTTCATCTAACAACTTTAAACAACAAAGAATTAAACAAACGAGACAAGTCTCTATAAGAAACTAATTAATTAACTAGATAAGAAATCCATAATGATTAAACTAAGTGAGTTAGTCTGTAACTCTATTTTAATTTATATTACACAATCATATGCAATTGCTTAATTAAGCACAAGCAAGTGTTCGACTCACGATTTATTCTAAAGATATTCAATGCTCCCAGACCCAAAAACAAAGGAACAACTGTAGGGCACTAGTTTTATACACGGGATGTAATTGTTATAAACAAATACGTAGAAGAAACATTGTTATTATTGCTGTCATTTAAACATCTCGCCATTACTGGGGCCTGGCTAAAGTCGCTTGGCATTGTCGCCTTGCTTTACTATCGGTACGCGGTGTTTCGATTGCCAACACAGTACGCACTTATATCTTAAACGTTCTTAGGTATACACTTATTTCTTTTCCACCCTGAAAAATGCCAAAGTCAAAGGCCCACGTGCAACTTTGATAGGAACATTCAAGTCCACACGAAAACGTGACTACACAAAGCATTACTAGAACAAACTTACTTTTGAAATAAACTAACCTCGCTCTGAACTCGTGTTAATGCCTGCAACATGTTGTGTTTTTCAGTCATAATATTTACGCTGTGGGCTCTTTGTTGTTACAATCCTATACGTTTACTATGGTCGAACAAAAATAGATGCAGATTTTCGTCAGGGAATGCTAAATGTGAACGTTGCTATGAAAAAAATATTATTAGCATTGAATTTATAGTTTTAAAAAGCACACAATTAGAATAACGCCATAAAGTCATGAATCGTGTACCTTTATTTAAATACTTTGAGACACTTCTTGTTAAAATCTTTTTACGTCACCTTACTGTGCATGAATTTTTTCCCATAAGTGAAGCATAACTATAATCCTCATGTATGTTTGTATTAAGTCGAATTGTCAGTTTTCATTTTTTGGGCTGGTGTACCATATCGTGCTTTATCACCTTGCTACTAATGGATAAAGGGCGTATTACCAAGATGAAAAGAAGAGATGAAACATACTGTTTTTACTCAGTCACCACATATATATAGATACTTATTTAAATACGTAGGTAATTTAATCAATTACATTAAATTTAATTGTTTTATTTGGACAGGAACTACGTTAATTTGTCTGAAGGTCATAATAAATAAATGTGAACAACGCAAAAACATGGCCTACAGGATGGATCATTAAAGATTTTTCGTTGTAATCATTTCTTGAATTGTCCAAATATGTGACGCAAATAATACGTATGATAGATACAAGGATACATCTATAAATCCTAAAAAAATATGGTCTAAAAACATTAACAGGACCATGGACATCTTAGAATACCCTGTTATGTGATGATAGTTTTTACGCGCTACTATTCCTAAAAATTTAAATATTATGTCTATAATTTCACTGTCATATTTTAATCTTCAAATCAAGACAATGCCTTGCAAGCATAGCTATAGATTTATGGCAGATACACGAGTGGGATACTTATGCATGTAGACTATTTTTGTAGTTTCCTTTTGGTTTTGTGTTATCATAGATAATATTGTAGGCATATTAAAAAATCTATATTTAATTATATCATAATCTTATGTAGTTATATTTATTATAATAATTATAGATTCATAATTATTATTTCAGCCATTAATTGTCTACTGCCGAATAGAAGCCTTCCCCTGATGGGGCGTTCTGCCAGTAGTTACCACGTTTGGCAGGCGGGTTGGCAACCGCAGTTAGACTTACAGATGTTTTAAGAGAGACGCTGCTGCCCATCCCTTCGTCATAAGGTACATAATACTTGGTATTAATTGATAGGTTACATATTAATACACGTGGTCATTTTAATCTAGATATTTCGACGTAGTATTAATTTATTTTGTCAATTGAAACTTTATAACCCCAAAGAGACTATGTACTGCAGCGTATGTATGTATATATATATATATATATATGTGTATAATTACTATTATCTTTATCTTTATCGCAGTGTTTTTTTGTATTATGTGTAATTATATAATTAACTAAGTATAACTTTCAGTCTGTCAGTGTTTAACTATTATATACTGTATGAGTTGGTAGCTTGATTATATGGTTAGCAGATCTCAAGATCTACGTCTAGTTTATATCATTGATTTTTCAAATTTGTGTTTGAATTAATTATTGTCACTTTTGATTAAGCAGGCTCGTACAATCTTCATCTGAAAACCACGTCATAGACCTTCGTGTATAATGAAAACGCCCTAGAAATGCTTGACGTGATGTCAATAGTGCCACACTCAAATGAGTAATAGTATACTCTGTTATGTCCATGGTACTGCTCATGTCTATAGGCGACGGTTACCACTTTCCATCAGGTGGACCATCAGCTTGTTTGCCATTCTAAGTTGTATAAAAAAGAAAAAAAATCTATTTATCTTTACTTTACCTATCTCTTAACGTATTTTGTTTTTTCCATTGTAAATTTTACTTTCAAAATATATGGATGCTATTCATTGTCATAAGACAATTATTTATTTAATATTCACCGTAAAAACTGGGAAATTCATCATACTACACAACAAAAAGTAAAAAGATATATTTCATTTACACTACATAAGCGATTTTTTTCCTGCTTATATGGTATTGTTTTTTTAATTTATCAATTCAGTTAAATATAATATATCAAACTGACAAACTGTATAATGCACTAGATACTCGTATATTCTAAACAGATTATTTCTTTACTGTAAAACAAAACTGTAATTGTAAACTGTAACAATCTTCTTGCATTGTGCTTTTGCATTTTAACTCGAATAGAAAGCTAAAATTATTCTATCCTCATATATTTGTTCTTTTAAAAATGACTTATTTGTAAAGATATATTACAAATAATAAGCTTTTTTTCCTGCTTATATGGTATTGTTTTTTTAAATCAGGTTAAATATAATATATTAAACTGTCAATGGATAATACACAGCCCTATTTCTAACAATATACCTTATTTTGTCGACATTTTTTTTTTAATGTGGTCAATAAAGTGGTTCTCTTTACTCAAAACCATTGTGAACAATCTTCTTGCATTGAATTTTGCGTCACGATAGAAAACTAAAATTATTCATCCTCATATATTTGTTCTTTTAAAAATGACTTATTTGTAAAGATGGGTTACAAATAAAAGCTTTTATTACTGGTTATCGTAAGCCACGTACATATAAGCACGTATGACGTGCTTATACGGTGCTGTCCCAGAAATAAAGGTAGGCTGTGTTAGTGGGCGAGGCACATGAAACTGCTACAAAAAATGTTTGGTCCATATTTTTCTTCTAGTGATTCATAGTGTACAGTTACTCATTATAAGTATTTACATATTATCTACTAATGTATACGTTATATTATATATATAATGTGTCTCTTCACGTTACGCGTAATGTAGATATGTAAGGTACGTACATATGTTTTTTCCAAATGAGTCACCGATATTGATATTTACGCATTAGGTAGAAAGTAAGAATAATTTTCTTGAAATAATTGTTGAACAAAATGTCTACTGTCAGTACTGCACATTTTAGATTCAGTTTTGAGATAAAAATGAATGAAATAAAAATACCCATATATATGAAAAACAAAAAGCCAATCAAGTGTGAGTCACACTCGCGCAACGAGGGTTCCGTACAAAATCAACAAGTTTAATTTTTTTTGTTGATTAAGCAAATTTACCATTTTCGGGTTTTTTGCTTCACTTGTGCTACATGATATTGCTTCTTGCTAAATTTCATTATTCTAGGGCAACGGGAAGTACGTTATAGGTTTTGATTTTCTTTGCGAATATCAAAATAGGCAATATAAATGGAACTTAAACGGCCGTACCTTTTGATTGCGTCGACATACAAGTTTGATTTTTTTCACTGATTTAAGAGATTGCACACCTGAGTATGTAATTTTAATTTCAACTTAATAACTCCACGCGTTCCTAAGAAAAAGAGTTTTAATAAACGGACGGACAGACGGATGGACGGACGGATAGCGAAGTGATATTATAAGATTTCTGTTTTTTTCTTTGGAGGTACGGAACCCTAAAACAGATAATTTAATCTAATGCCATATACTTATTTCGCGATTCAATAACACCTCTCAGCTAAATATAATTTTATAGTAAAAATAGAGATCTTTATATCTGTATGTTTCACAACTTACATTATTTGGTGGGAAAATGATTGTTAGTTATGAATTCTAACAAATCCATTGCTAGCAATATACCCTATTAGGTCCACGCGTTTCGCCCTGGAAAACATCGTGGTTAATTCTTGACGAATTCTTCATGATGGGCCGACTGCCTTCAACCTCACTTATTATCTATTACTGATGCCTCGCCAGCATATACCGATAGCGCAGGCGACGTTACAATTCCATTATTACTCATTAAAAAAACTACATTAGGTACCTATCAACAGTCCTCATAAAGTAGTAAATATAAAATCTTTATGTATGCCCGTTTTCATTTTTCCAAAATTGAGCGAATATTTTTTTTACCTACAAATACGTAACACAATACCCAATCTGGTTACGTTGACAGAGACTTTGACTTTCAGCGAAGTGAGGTTCGCCTCTGTTTTCTGTTTGCCTTCGATGTGTAGATTACGTAGATAATATCCTTAACCGATCGTTCAAAATAAGGAAAATTGTAGATCCTTTGTATCAATTCACAATGGCGTAGAGTAATCTGCGTTTGCAATTCTTGGATTTTACAGTGTTGATTTCAGGTCTTCCAACTTAGATTGCGTATCTATATGTATGACTTAGCAAAATATTGAAATTTTATTTATAATAAGTAAACTGCCTATTGATTGGTAGCAAAATTTGATATAAATTCAGCAGTTACTGAGATGCAGTTTTGCAAAAATTTTACATAATAAATAGGCACTACAAGGTGGATCACCTTTATACAACGTTATATAAGAGTTGGCACGGCTATTATATTAGCGAAACTGGAAAATTAATCTATGCATATAACTAGAAGTATAAACACAATAAAATACATGAATATTCATAGTATTGTACAACTATTTATAAAGAAAATAAAATAAATAAATAAATAATATGCGTTTCACAAAATATAGATATGAACAGTTAAAAAGTATCTTGTCGGTTTTTGTTCAAAGAGACGCAGGCCTGTAAGGCATCAATTTTTTTTTTTACTATGAAATATTTGTGAAAATAATATGTGCCAGTATTTTCAAGATAAGTTGAAAGTTCGATAATATCTATTTGACATTAATACATACATACCTAAAATGATGAAAAATATGTGTCCTAGTTTGTAGGACAAAGTGTTACATATCCGTATGTACAGTACCTACTTTATTTTTAATAAGGTACATAATTCAGAAAGTGTTTCAAACCGCATTCCAGCAAGATTATCGTCTCAACTCAACGACTTGTCACATTTCATTTAACTAAATTAATTGATAATAATTACGCGTAGCTTTAACCGGCAGTTATTATATTAAAATAAACTAATTGAAATATCGTTAGGTATTAATTTCTTTTAGTAATGACTATGTTGACCAATCGGATGCAGAAAAAATTAGGAAACGTGAAAGAAATATACGATGACGCCTTACCAGAACCATATTGAATAGATACGCGTTAGATAACAGTTCCAATGAATCGTTCCGCGAGCCTCCATCATCACACCTCGTTGTATTTATTTTTTAACGGCTGCGAATATACATCGTAGGATTTAGCATCATTCAGCCAGTCACTGTTCGTACAACATACGAACGGCATTCGCGTCGCGCGCAGCCAACATATTTCCCGCCGCAAATTTAAAACAGCGTATTCTAAATTCAAAGTTCCTTGCTAGCTATTATAATATTATTGCGTAAAATTTATATAATGCCTAAAAAGAAATAATTTTAATTTATTTATCAGTAAATATTGTTGTATTTTTGCGAATTTTCTGGAACATGTGCAAAACTGTGAAATCGTATAAATGAAATCGAGGACTGCGAAAGTGCCGTTTTCGTAAATAAAATTTCTGTGATACATTGCTGTGACAATTTAACTAGTGTGTGACTTGACTTTTTATTGTTATATCGTTTCGTGAAATTGTATTTCGCGAAACATTTAAATAAATATTCTTTATGTTAGGTCCATATATGAAGGTGAGTGTAATATGTTTGCATTTTTTTACATTATCTAAATGTGTTTAGGTTATCTGCAAGTGTAATAATTAAAGTAACCTACATCATCGTAGTAGGTAGTACTTATTTACCTATTTCAATAAATTTGGTTGATTAGATGAAATTTAGGTTATATCTACATGTGGAATGTGTACTCATGTGGAACAACTGAAAAAAAAATGTTCCTACTCAAAATCATAATTTTTAATAGTACTTATGTACCTAGTTGTATATATTTCATGAATATTTACATATATTATAGATATATGTTACACTACTTATTAATTTTAAATTACATAGTTGAATTTAGCTAGTTCTTTTATTAAAGTTATATGAACGTAATAGTATATAAAGAACGACTAACATATGAATATTAATACACAGACTTCCTAGTTGTCTGATATGATAATCCGTATATTTGTTAGGTCATTGCAATAGATAGTTGAATAGTCATTTTCGTATTTCATTTTTACAATATATATTTTTTCAGTACTTATTTACCGCTTTATTTCTTCAGTACTTATTTAATCTTTAGTTTTAATAAATACACATACATACATTAAAATACTACAACTAAACAAATACTTTCAATGGAAAATCTTTATTAAATATGTTTTCGTTCTGTCTCCAATCATAAGTTAACGTCCAACGTAAATGACCCGATTGAGACGTGAATAAATTAAATCGTAAGATCAAAGTCTTACGGTTTAGTTTACATACGCATACGCATTGGATTTTAAGCAAATTCTGCGTGTCGTGGTTCGAATTCTACTACATGTAACGATTGTATGATAACTCATATTAAGAGCGTTCATATCTTTTGCTTATCGAAGTGTGGCAACGTCGCTATTATCTGTCAATTTTCAAAAATAGTTTAAAAATGTTTAATGTCTTTGACTGATTATTTGAAACGTTCTCTACTTTCGAACTAAAACTTTATACGTTTTTATTTTTAGTGACAGTATAATCCTCTGATAAATCTCAACAGCATAGCTCCTTTAATCAAAAGTTATCAGTAAGAGATTGCCATAGTGATAAGACCGCTTTTTGTCTATTTATATATTATATATATCTTAATCTGTACTTTATGCTGCTGTGTTTCACTTGAATTTTCTAATTGTTATTGTATATTCTATGTTTTTGGTGTAATAAAGAGTTATGTAGATAAATAAATGTAAAATCCTTATTAAACTGTTACTAAAAATTTGGATTGTGATGGCGAAAAAGTATTTGAAAGATTCTAAAGAAAGATATGACGGAGATGAAAATTTCTTAATGGTAGATTTATGTTGTGTAATTAACGTTTTATTTCGCTAAAGCATAGCACTTTTTAAATAATCACTCAGAAATATGGAAAATTATTAAATTATTCTAGAAAACTGACAAATACTTGCGACGTTGCCAAATATCCTTAAGCTAAAGTATGAACGCTCTTAAGATCTTACCAAACAAATAAAACAATATATTGATGGTATTGACGTAGGTAACTAAAATTACGTAGTAAGTTGTTTGTTTTTTATACAATATGGAATGGTAGAGTGAAAGCGATTGCTAGTAATGGAGTCTAACTGCCCTATTGCTAGCAATGTACCCTATCAAGTCAACTTTCACGCAGTTCTCTCTAGAAATCAACGTGGTTAATACTTGTTAAATTAGTCACTACCGACTAACTGAGGGAGACCTTACCAGTGGAAGACTTTGTACAAAAGTCGTTTGCTTGGTCACCTCTGTCCCATTCGTGTTTCTACCGTGAAGCAGTTGTGTTTGCATGGCTGTGTTTCGGTTTGAAGTGAATTTACAGGGTACAGAGAAATAACACCTAAGTCCTCAGGAATGGCAACGCATGGGGAGTATCATGGGCAAAACAGTATACTTTGTTATATCCATGGTACTGCTCATGTCAATAGACGATGGTTACTACTTTCCATCAGATGGGCCGTCAGCTAGTTTGGCATTCTAAGTTGCATAAAAAAATAACTGCCTAGCTTCATCGTCGCCTATCATTGCTCACTGATGCCTCGTCAGTGTATATTGATAGCGCAGGCAACGTCACTACTTCATTTTATTTCATTAAAAATAAAAATATAGAATGGCAAAAGAACAGAAGGTCCACTTAATAGAAAGTAATAATCGTTGCCTATAAACATGAATAGCTCTATGAGCATAACCGTATACTGCAATAAAATGTGGATATTACTTAAACAAGGATGATTGACTATACAAATGTGTTAAATTAGTGTAATTTATTTCTCTAAAATAGGTAATATCTAGTATTTAAATCCTTGGAATTGGACATTGGCTGTATGAAGCTTTCATTACGTAGTATTAAGTAGATAACATCTTAAAACATCTCCAAAGCCTAATTGCGGTTGCCAATCCGTTTGCCAAGCGTGGCAACTACTGGCAAATTCCCCCATTGGAGCTGGCTTACTTTCAGCAGTGGACAGTTAAAGACTGATGATGACGATGATGATGAAGTAGATAATTTTTTTTAAACAAGCTACATCCTTATTTTATTTATTACTGTTATACTCCTGTATTTAGATTATAATTTAATTACTGTATATAAGTATTATAGTATTCTTTAATCGTAGTATAAATACTTAAAAATATATATATTTATTGTGTAATTATTTTTGTGCATAATCTTAATATAGGATATTAAAAATTCTGTTTACTAAGGTTGAGTGAGAGATAATGCTATTTACTATCAAGTCCGAGAGTTTGAAGCATATAATATAAGTGGTCATTAAATTAATAATAAATAAATAATTGCATAAATAAATACATTTTATCATAAATAATATCGTCTATTACAAATAGATACAAGACGTGATACAAATCTTTCTATCTTATAACATCTAGGTTATTGACGTTGTGATAATTGTTAATATGATTATATTTTGTAAATTTTTAGGATCTAATAAGTCAGCAATTGATTTTTGTCGTGTCTATATTAAGCATACCACACGTTCTAATACAAATGTATTTAATTTGTTACAGTATTATAATACAAATTTTTTGCCCGCTTCATCGTACGCGTAGATTTCGGAAGTAGAAAAACCACATCTAATGCTGTAGTTTTTGAGTGATACTGGAATAACCATATAAACGGACAAAATTTCCAACGGCACCCATTGGCTTTATTATGGCCGCTCATATTAACTTTTTTTAAATATTTTCCATTAGCGATGATGACATAAACATAAGTTAGTATTTTATGTTTGCATTAATAGGCAAATATTATTACTTTGAGTTACATTATTGTCTATATTCATCATCATCATCATTTCCAGCCGTTAACTGTTCACTGTTGAATATAAACGCTTTTTCCTTAAGGGGAGTTTTGCCAGTAGTAGTAGGCAGGCGGATTGACAACTGCAGTTAGGTTTTGAATGATGTTTTAAGAGGGGCGTTGCTGCCCATCCCGCTACTAGTTCTTTTAGTGGCCTCTTACGCCATTCTCAAGAAAAGAAGGGTTGGCTTTCTCTATGCCGGGACCACACGGATTATATAGCCGTCTCTACTAGATAACCTATATTAATCGATGATAATGTACTCGTAATGTTTTATGGATGAAGAATTATTCAATTTGGTTTACTAATTTTTTTCTTTATCTATTCCAAACAGACAATCAAATTATTCTTCTTCATAATATTAATATAAATACAGACAGACATTGTAAAGTCATAATTTTATTATTTTAGTAAGATTTTAACATTTAACAACCTTGATGGTATAGCGGTTTAATAAACGGAGTCGTCTATCGATCGTATCGTCGATAGTTGCGAGTTCAATTCCTTTGCAATACAAATATTCATTAATATCAAAATGCACTTATTGCAAAAAGTTTATTCAAGTATCGCTATCAAATGTCTTAATGCTGTGCTTACTTTGAAATTAAATGTCGTATGATATTGTATGAAAATTAATTGTATCTTTATTATTATTATTGTTACATTAAGAATTAAGTACACATTCACGAAAGAAGTCACGTTTCGTTCAAAATGTAAACACTTTCTTCTTATTTCATTAAAATTACCAAATATTTTAGTTAGATAAATGTTTTGGCCTTTTTTCAAGAACGCCAAAGTACTTTCAATAAATAAACTTCATTCCGTATTTTTCTTAAATTTCTCAATATACTCTGACTAATAGGAGCCGCTCAAACAATACTTAGGTACATATTATCCTAAAAAAATAAAATGTCAAGTATCGCAACATAGTTCTGTCACTACAAAAAGTTATGGGAACTCATGAAAAAACCAAATCAGTTGTTTTATCTAGTGTCTATGCAAGCACCAATTCAACAATTTTGTTATAAATCGTTATATAAATAATTACTTATCAACATTTATAGTGACTGTATCAATATTAGACATCTTTATTTTTACATATAATAATTATAATGACTTGGCAATTGCACGGCAACATATTCTATTAATAAAATACTTTATTCATAAGTGCACTATTTAGTTTTTGTATTAGATTATTCTTTTATAATTATGTTGCCGTGCCATTGCCAAGTAATTACAATCATTGTATTTACAAATAAAGATATCTAATATTGATAGATTAGATAACAATTTATAACAAAGTTGTTGAATCTTGATTACTAAAAATTCAAGCTTCTTCCACAGTGAAGTTATAGGAGGGTCAAACATGCCATGAGTTGCTTCAGAAAAGTATTGTATGGCAAATATTAACTGTGTTGTATGTGTAAAAGAAATATCATCACCCAATTCATCGCCTGTTGGCTTATATAAGAATGAATATAAATGAATACTTGTGGAGTATATAACTTTTGTTATGTTCCGCATATACATATGTATACGTAGTTTGTAGGTATCTACATTACTCGCGGACGGTTTCCCGTTTAGCATTAGTTAATAGTGTGATACCAATTAATTTTTTTTTATCAGTTTGTCCATTTCCTATGAGTGTCTATCGTAACTAACTCGTTAAGCTGATTAATTCAAAGA